TTTGGCGAGATCGTAAAAAATATTCACGCGTAATTTTGAGAGAAAATTTGCAACCGTGGTTGAGTAATTAATGCATTTCAAATGAAGTTTAGAAATGTTGCAATGCAAATAAGCTCATCTGCCCCTTGTCCCTTCAATCGTGGAATATTGTAACAACTATTTGAAGGTAGGTATAAAAAACGCACTGCACCATCTTTCAAAAAAAATAAAATCCCTTTCCATTTAAAAAAATATTAGTACGAACTTTTAACCTAGCATCCTTTCCTTCTGATGGAGGGTGGAATGTCTTAGTATCTTTACAATTATATAAAGAAGCCTTGCATAATACCCATCTTGTACGTAAGAGCACTGTGCTTGAAACGCGCTTCACGTACCTATTCTCTTACAAGATTAATTTGCGTTTATTTTGAGATCAATTTTACCCACATGAAAAACCACACAACTCATTGCACGAGGAATTTTGAAACTTTTAAGCTCCTCTCGGAGTTCTTTTTTGTTACCAATTTCTCTTCTTCAGTGTTTTCAAATTCTAAATTGTTCCGTCCAGTCGAGCTAGATTTCCCGCCTCTCTTTTTCCGGGCGTCAAAATTGATTTGAAGAACCTGTCCGGGCATCAATAATTCAAGAGCATGACATAATTTGTACCAAGATTTCAAGGGATGATACGCAGTATAATGAGGTGTCGTGGCTCATTTCGGGAGAGGGTGAGAATTACATCGTGTAGACACAAGCAGGCGCGTGTCCAGAACGACACGTAAATTAGCACAAATTGGAGGTTTATCTGATGATACAGCTACAGTTTCGATCCTAGGTCACCTCGAGTTGTAAAAAATACATGAACCCGTAATCGCATCGAAGGAACACGGTCGCTTTCAAATGAGCCCTGAAATACGTGAAGGTGCAGGCGTTTCGGGTCTCACCTAAGAATGTACATGTTGCTTTTCACGAATGCAAGAGCAAATGACGCGTAATCAAATGGAAGGTGTCCGGGAAAAGGGTGAAGCGTCGCGTTCGGAGCGAGGGTTGATGATCACCCCAAACTGGATCCTCCCCCTTGGCTTGTTGATATTCATTTAACCTCTAGAACGGCTTGTTGGCACTCGGAATCAGGGCGATACGAACAGGTGTCTCGTCCCCGGTTAGAATGCGCGGTTATTCTTACCGCGTTCTCCATGCAGATGAAACGGTAACTATGAAGGGATGAGGGGGACCTCATGCTACTTCTTGTTTAATGCTTGACAGTTGCACATTCAGGGCTTAATTAGAGCCCGGCATGTTTTGATCTCGATATCGTCACCTTCCAGGCAAAGTATCACAAGCGCCATGCGACGTTTAAAAATTTCCGCCGCCATTTTATTTCTTTACTGAGAAATTGCTGGTTGAATCTGTTTGGAAATTTCACTAAATTTTATCGGCAGCACAAAGAAAATTCAGTGAAATTTTCGGCCTGCTTCGTTGTACAATTCCTCTGTAAAAAAATAAAATGGCGGCGGAAATTTTTAAACGTCGCATGGCGCTTGTGATACTTTGCCTGGAAGGTGACGATATATCCTTGTTCTCGAAGGAATGTAAAGGTATGAAAGTCAAGAGAGTTACATCCAGCGTACTTCATTTCCTGAACTGTTCCTTACGTCAGCGGGAATGGACGCACATATTTTCAAAGGGTTTTTTTTTTTGTAAAAACAGAAAAAATATGAAAAAATATGGGAGACTTAGATGCAAACTTTCGCACCAGTATTGATTTTAACGCGGTCTCTTATCGGCAAGGTCAAGATTGTAGATTTTGGCAAGTTTCAAAGTTATGCTTAAATCAATGGCCAGATCCATGTTTGACAAAGGGTGGGAAGACGACGAAACAGTATGTACGCTGGATTTTTTTCCCCATTGGCACTAGAGTATTTTTTTTTTTTTTTCATATGTTTTTCTCTTCAAAATGTATTATATTTTCATTAGTATTCGTTGTCCTTCTTTTTCATTTTTTTCACTCTTATATTCTTCTCCCAAAATTTCTCTTCAACCAAATTTTATTTTCGTAAATATACCTATATTGCTTGATTTATTGCTTAAAATATTAAATTTTCCAATAAGATTTAAATTTTAGTCGTTAGCCTTGCCAATTTATAGAGGTTATTTTAGCGTAAGCTAACAATCAACCTTACGGCCATACACATTTTTGGCCTTGTGAGAGCTATTGTTGAATTAGAATTGAGGACGAGCCATTAAAGCGTTGAAGTTACCTCTTTGCTCATGTGTGTGATACAATTTTATTAAGCCTGAAATTTCACGATGATATCACAATTCGACCACGTGGGAGCCCGTGTTGCCTACATCGAAAATTGTAGGCGAACTGTCAATCGTTAATGACGTAAATGCGTTAAAATCACCTTTTCACTTTCGATGAAAGGATATTTTTGAGTGTGTCTCGAATACACTTCTACGATGATACTTCTATTTGAACACGTAGGTGCTTGTGTTGCCCACACTTAAAGTTAAAGGCGAACTAATGGAGGTAAAGTCACCCCTTTTCGCCCGGTAGAGAGCTATATTTTGTGTGTACTCCAAGTAAGCGTGCCACTCCATGATGATACCACTATTTGACCACGAGAGAGCTCGTGTTGCCTACGCTGAAAATTGCAGGCGAACTGCTAGTGCGTAAGAATCACCTCTCTACGTTCGATGAAAGAATATTTTTCGTATGTTCCGAATAAGTATGACATTCATGATGATATACCACTATTCGACCACGTGGGCGTCCATGTTGCCATGTTGTCCATGTCCATGTACACTTACGGATAACCATTTATTGTCCTCAATATACATTTTTTCACTTGGATTTTCCAAAACTTTTTTTCAACCATTTTTCAATAATTACACACATATTTCTTAATTTAGTGCTTCAATATTCAAGTTCCCAATAGTCATATTTGACCTTAATTTATTAGCCTTGCCAATTTATGGAGGCCATATAAACGTAAGCTTCTTTCGAGTTGTTTTCTCATGAAAAAAGGGGACTTTCATATTCAATGTCGTACATATTTTCATCATTGAAAATCTGCATCTGGCATTCATGAAAGCGACCCAAAAATCTTCCTTTGTCATAAGTCCCTTTTCATTTTATAAATTAATATTATTTTCCGATACTGTAGAATGAAAAAGTACAGATCTCAATCGACTTTCTGCCCAAAAAGGAATAAATGGACTGAGTTAAGCAGAAAGGAACCAACCCACATTTTGGAAAAAATCGAGTTATGAGTGGTTTTGAACTCAACCACTGCTCTACTATCTGTCTCCAAAGATTGAAAGTTTTTGTTGGAGCAAATTTTGCAGAAATTGAACTTGAAGTTTATCTTTTACATTGAGTCTTATGCAGGAGCCAAACTTTAAACCTCTTTTTCTCGGTTCGATCCCGATGTGGCTTGGTTCCTTTCTGTTTAACTCCGTCCAAATCACGTTTTGTTTTCTAGTTACCACACCACACTGGAAGAAAAAACACATTGGATCTGGAGTCCAGACTCTTGAAAAAATTGACAAGAAAAAGGACTCTTGATTCAATCAGATTTAAGCTTAAAACAAAAGGAAATTCGCTCAAATTTAAAGGCTTGGTTCTTGATTTTAGCTAGCTTAAATCTAATTAAATCAGAGTATTTTTTCTTGTCGATGTTTTTAAGAGTCTGGACTCTAGATCCAATGTGTTTTTTTCCAGGGCATACACGCACAAGTACCTTAAATTAAGGGGTCAAAAACTGAAGAAGGGGTGCTCACGAAAAGGACCTGTCTTTCCGTCGTTCCGTAAAAATTGCCCTAAAACTCTGTTGGGGAGTTTGCCTCCTCGGCTTCCTCTTCTTCAGATGAGTCGGGTGACTGAAGCTCCAAAGCACCTCACTAAGACCAAAGAATCAATGCCACACGAAAACTTCAATTTTATGAAGAGGGCTTTAAATTCCTATCAAAACGAGAACCGCCTCATCTATATCATCCAAAGAGCTACCAATCACGTCTTTTATTTTACGCTCTGGAGATTCCGAAATCCTTCGATCGGAAGCTCCCATCACACTTTTTAGCCCCCCTACTTTTAAAAAGTTAGCTACACCCGGCACTGACCTTAACCGTTCAACTCTTCCTCTGTCCCCCTCTTTGAGAATGCTCATTCTCGGGTTTCCTTTTCCTTTGACAAGGGCAAATTTCCACAGCTGGATTTTGTTAATTAAACCTTCTTTCAAGGCCACTTCAGTCCGGGGAGGAGGGCGAGTCTTATCATCGCCAGCCATAATCAATTACCACGGCTAAGCCGCGGTGACACAATTCCAACGGGAGGGAACGACTTAAAAGTGGCTGAAGGGGGCGGAGGAAAAAAGTCAAGAAGCAAGGCTGCCGTGCTAGGGAAAAACGCCTTATGAGCCTTCAGGCGTTGCCAAATACCCTTTAATAAAACTCAAATTTCCTGGTAAACTTTTGAGTATTTTCCGTTCAATTTTTCAGATTACTTAATTCGCAATTTCACTTAAAGTTCCTGAAAATTTCAAGGAAAAATATTAATATCTATCCTCAAAAATAAACATTTTATCGAGGGAAATTCGGCAACTCTTGAGTGTTCGTACGGCGTTCTTCCTTAGCGCGGCAGAAGGAAGGAGGCACGGTTGGTGATGGTCGGAGCGGATCGAGAGAGGAAAATCCAGCGGGAGGAAAAGAGACACTGGAAATCGAGAGGGAAGACTCTCCGACAAAAGGGCGTAACCACACTTAACGATGAGCTCCGTTATCCGTATGATCTGATGCTTTTTAGGGTTCATCTCGATGTGTAGATACGCCCTTTTGGAGCCGAGTGACGAATTAAATAAAAGGGGAAAGCGCGAAGTGGGGAGCTGGAAGAAGATCCGGGAAGCGGGTGCAAGGCGATTAGTTTGCGAGGTAATTAACGTTCGCGGAACGCGCAAGGGCCGCGGCGGATGGGGTGGATGGGGCGGGCTTACGCTTCCTATTGGCGGTTCGGCTCCTGGATCCGCGTTCAGCTATGGCGGCAAAAAGCTACTCCCTAACAGTACCACGGCGGTCGCAGCCAGCTTCGCTCCTCTCACCCTCTCCAAGTAAGTCAATTTAAATTGAATATATTGCAGTTAGCAACAACGAAAATAGTAACACGGTAGTTATAGCCAAATAACTGCCCTGGAAAAAAAACACATTTGATGTAGAGTCCATACTCTTAAAAACATCGATAAGAAAAAATGCTCTTGATTCAATCAGATTTAAGCTTAAATCTAGAACCAAGCCTCTTAATTTGAGCGGATTTCCTTTTGATGTAAGCTTAAATCTGATTGAATCGAGAGTCCTTTTTCTTGTCAATGTTTTCAAGAGTCTGGACTCTAGATCCAATGTGTTTTTTTCCAGTGTGCGCATTTTATAAAATTAAATTACATTTTTATTACCTGAAGCCTTTCGATCGGTGGATCATCGTCAGAACGTCAGAGGTATAATTATTAGTAAATACAGAGGTTCACATGGTTGATTGAAAACAAAATAAACGAAGAAAAAATTAATACATAGTTATACAATTTTTGGCATGGTTCTATGGCTAGGGCTTAATATCTTAGCAGACCGAAAGGCTTTAGGTATTAAAAATGTAATTTTATTTTATAAAATGCGCAGTTATTTGGCTGTAGCTACCTTGTTATTATTTTCAAGTCAATTTTCCTTGTTTCTACCGTTTAAAGATGATTCGGAATCTTCATAGGTACTGCTTGCATTCCCAAGGAGCAGTGATCGCGATAAGTTGTGACTTAATCGCAGAATGTATGGCGATTTTATCGATGTAGATTATTGCAATATTATCGGATAAAAAATTGCGCTAAAATTTCGATTTTATCGAACGCGATTTTGTAGAGATAAAATTTCAACAAGCTTGAGGATAATCGCTCGGATGTTGATGAGCCTAGCGATTTTACCGCCAAACAATCGTAAAAAAATCGCAACTTGATTTTAAAATATCGGTATTTTTCCGTTGAAAAATGCTACTTGGGTTGACATGGCACAGCCTGTAGTGCGTGTATAATTGGAGCGTTCAAAGAAGCAGTAATCGCGATAAGTTGGGATTTAATCGGAGAACGTATCGCGATTTTATCGTTGTCGCGATTTATTGCAATATTACCGAACTAAAATCGTGATAAATTGAGGTGAAATTTTGATTTCATCGCACGCGATTTTATAAAGATAAAATTTCGACAAGATCGAGGGTAATCGCTCCGATGATCGCTCGAGGTTCTAGCGATTTTATCGCCAAAAAAGGGTAAAAATTCGCAACTTAATTTCAAAATATCGCGATTTTTCCGTTAAAACATGCAAGGTACTTGGGGTTAAGTGCAAGAAGGCCATCGGTTGCGGTATTTCAGAATTTTCGCGGTTACTTTATATAATAGAGAGTAAACTATATTGGGCGAATTTTCTGAAATTGTTCATTTGGCGCATTTTAAATTTGTAAAAAGTATTCAGCACAAGATTCAATGAATTACATGTTCCTACATTTGCTTTAATCATAATGGATGAAACTTTGGTGGAGATTCTCAATCACCGCGATCAAGGAGTGCCTTCTCTGAACCCATTGATTCTATTAAAGAGAAAGGAAGCCTAATGATTCTTGAAAAAATGGAGTTTAGAGATGTTTAGAATCTATTTAAAGGCATATTCTTCCAGAACATATGAGGTTTGCAAAAAAAAAAAAAAAGAAAAAAAAGAGGTTTAATTGTGATCACAGAGAACTTGTAGGTATGTAGGTTTCTGAAGTTTAATGGTATTTATCTGCAAACGAAAACTCCGATGGGTAAAATGATCACGAAAATATCATCAGTTTCTATAGTGAACAATTAATTACGGGTTGAGTTATGACAAAAAAAAATGTTCAACCAAAATACGTATCGACGGTGAAACTACCAGACTAAGTATCTCAGTTTGTTACGTGCAGACTTCCTATCACACTTTATCTTTTAAATGGAAAATTACTCAACGTCAATTTTTGAAAACTACCGCGATCTTTCTTCTATTTGCGAAGAAAACTCTGTGAAAACTTCAAGGAATGGTATTGATTTGTTCTCTCTCAAAAAAATAAAATAACCCTATGATGTCACAAGGCGATGAATTTTTCCACTTTCAAATTGATTGTCTCTCGTTCTCCGTATCAGAAAAGCATTATAATGTACAAAAAATTGCGAACTCAGCTCGACTAGCACTTTCTGATGAACCCTACAATTTTCTCGTACAATTTCTTCCTTCGGAACCCTCCGTATTTATGGACTTCGCACAATTTATCTGAGCTTATAAAATGGGCAGCGTCCAGTGAAAGGTAACCTTGTATAATATTTTCAAAAATATTTGGATGATTAAGGAAAGTTTTGAATCTATTTAGAGGTTTGTGTTCTTCCGTCAAAAACTTATGATTCGCAAAATATATTTGGTTTTCGAAAATTTGATTTTAAGTCAGTTTTTGAGTTGAAACTTATGTTGAACTTGAAGGAATAAAACCTCAAACTAATTTATCTCGAATCCAAGTGACTCTATAATCCTCCGTCCCTTTCGCTGAACTCCGCTCAATGCGTGTTTATTATGACTAGACACCGGCGACGGAGGAAGGCACATGCTAAATTATTTTGGTTTTTGAAAATTTTCAGCCTAATATTACTACTGAGAAAACTGATTTTATAAAATTATAAAATATGAAATTTTACAGGTTTTCCAAAGGTAGGGTCTCCTCATCTTACAGTGCCTCTCGTACATATACAGGGGAACGCATTTGATAGTTAATCTCCTTTTCCATTGGTGTCTTCATACTTTCTCAGAATCAGGACGAGATTCCCTCGTCCTGAAATATACCGAAATATACATTCGTATATTTCGGTTCGGGCAAAAATCAGGTGCGAGATTGCAGACGAAGCTGTATCATTGCTTTTGATGTATTTTTAATTCGTCCAATTATACGAAAGGCCGTTCGTCTTACATCAAACCGTGACGTACATCACAATCTAGCAATATTTTAAACAATGCTCAATCAAAGATTTTTCTATGACTTTAGAAATGTATGAAAGTAATAGATTAATAAAAAATTGACGACTCACTGGTGTTTAATCTACATAATAACACTTTTTTAGTGTTATATATGTATATTATTTTGAGACTTTTGAGAATTGAATAATAAAGCTGAAAAAGGCCAAATGCCTTATATCTACGAACCTATCTCTAAAGAAATAAATTTTTTTTTAAAATAGTGGCGGAGAATGCAACATAGCTCGTGCACGAGAATCTTATAAAAAAAGTATATTTCTATCGTGAAAAATCATCTCCTAAAATTATATTATAATATATATTTACAATAAATATTTATTGGATGAAGAGATCTATGCGTTCCTTTTATATTTACTTCAACGAGCAATGAACTGAAAAATATGAATTATTTTCTCGCTAAACGGACGTGCAGCGCGGCGTAGTATGTTATTTTAAGGCTACGTTAGGGCGAGCATCTTGTTACCCAGCAAATAATTCGGCTAAAAACATGTAGGAATTACTGTATTTGAAAAATTATAAGAATATTTGTGTATATAAAAAATTATTTTGATTCGCATTTGTTTCACCGAGTCATTTCATTCATTCTTGCTCACCAATTAAAAAAGAATTCGAAATTGATTGGATAGATGACCATTATCAAACGTGAGATTTTTGTGGTATTCTCGGGTAACAGAAGGCACATCACAAAAACAATTCCATGCGCCATCAACTGTCACACAGTGGATCGAGTTAATTATTAGAGAGGTTTTCTGTAATTGAACGCTGACACTAGAGTTTGGCAACCAGTCTTTGCGTTGAAAAAATTAAGGCACAGTTTAATTAGACGACGGACATAATCGTTTTGCATTATTCACTCGGGATTTAGAAGTTCTTTTAAAATTTTTCTCGGTCAAATTTTGTGTAAACATACTTAGCGTAATGTGATACCAGGGAATTTTAAATAAATATCCTAAATTCTAGAAATTATAAAATAATTGATCAATCGATTACCGAATCGTTCTCTAGGTTAAGTGCTAAAGAACCACCTAGAGTCTACAAGCATTCGCCGTGAATGCAACAACAATCTAGCAGAGCGTAAGTGGAAGGAGAGGGTTGGTATAGCGAGCGCACGTTTAAGCTCAAATCTGAGAGGTTGCGATCACACGATTATGGTTAAATAACCCGATAATTTGATCACTCCCCGACAAACAACAACAATGCCGATGACGGACGTGGCGCGGGTATCCCTGACAAGAACAATCAGGGGCTGTCAAAAGTCAGGGTAAGGCACGCGCGCTGAGATCCCTCGGAGGGGTGACGAGCCCTTCGTCGCGGAGGGCCGAAGTGTCGCGTAATTGACGATCGCTTAGCGAGCAGATTAGGTCGATTTAGTTTTCATTAGTGTTCACCGACAGATAACAAGTTGTAATCCTTCTTCTCCTGCCGAATCCGGTCTCGCAACCAGCCGTACACCCGCCCGCGTGTCCGGTCTAGCGCCGAGCCGTTGAGTTTCGTGGGAGAATCGCCTACCCCTGAGAGCTGAGCTTTGAATGCATATCGATGGCTATAAGTACGTGCGACACTCTGCGACACCAAGTATCTCTATTGCGGTGTTTCAAAATCTCCGTTCCTACTTCAGTTTTTCGAAGAGAAACAAACTAGCTTTAAAGCTTGAGCAGAGCATTATAAAAGAGAGGAAAAATTAAGAACATTTTCAAGAAATTTCTTGGTTTGTTTTTCGAAGTAAAAATGAAATATGACGGGAAGTCTGTATCATCCCAAACGGAGATTTCAGTTCTCAAACTTTGGCCATCGATCTTTTGTCTGGTCTGGCGCCAATCCGCTAAGTTTAGAGTAAGTGGGAAAATCGCCTACCCCTTATAGCTGAGCTTTGGGTGCATATCGATGGCTGAAGTACGACACTACGGGTGTTTCAAGATCTCTGCTCCTAGTTTATTTTTTCGAAGAGGAACAGGTCAGGTTTATCGTTTAAAGCTTGAAATTTATACAGAATATTCTACTGATGGAGAAGATAAATAGAAGAAGTTTTCAAGAAATTATATTGACTGGTTTGCCCAAAAAGAAAAAAAAGGGGAGAAAAAAATGAAATATTATTGGAAGTCTACAACGTTCAAATAGAGATACGTGGGCTCGTGCTTTAGCTGTCGATATCCGATGAGCGGTGGCATCTGGGCGCCATGTCTAAGGCCCATCTTAAAAGTACATCGATGGTCTAAGTGTGAACGTATCTCTATCGCGGAGTTTCTAAATCTCAAGTGCACATGGTTCTAATAAATTGCATCTTAAAATTAATTGAGGGTTGTGTGTGTTGTATACTCACTGGTTGAAGGAGCTACACTGGACTTTATTGCAATTAAGGTCAAATAAGTTGAACTTTCTTTCCTTTGCATTGAACATAGTAATTGAACATTGAATATTGAACACTACCATTGAACATACTATCATTCTTACTCATGGTATTAATTTGATTCATACCAGAATGTACAAAAGGAATTAAGGCTCAAAACGTCATAACTTTTTCAATTATTGAGTTAAAATGTTCCGGTTTAAGCCGACTGAAGGCGCGAAGCGCATTCTGGAGGTAGGACCGCTTCGGAGGTGTATGCCCCTTGGTAATTTCATATTCAGTATTAATTGAAAGACTCCTCACACATCACACGTACGTTAAACAGTGCCAAAAAAATGCGAGTCGCAGAGTCGCCTGAAATACTTTGTTGCGCCTTCATTTTCATTTGATACTGTGCAACTCCTCTAGGTCGAAATAGTTGCTCGTAACGCCTTGCACAAACCAACGCGCATCGTATCGCATTATTGCACTAACAATAACCTTAGGACAGCGCGCCCAACATCTTTTTTGTTTTGAAAGCTCAGGATTTGATAATATAGTAAGATGTTAACTAATGCTCAATATTATTGAATTTAACAATGTTTATACATTTTCCAGGTGTTTACAACTTTCGGCTCCCTTGTCGTAGATTCATAGTTTATCCATTTTGGCTGAAAGTTAAAAAAAGGAACTCGAATCTAGTCGAAGGCAGTCTGTTCAACGAATACAATCCACATCTAGTTTCTTCTGGAAAACAAGGAAAACTGACATGCCACATACAGGTGAGATCTTCTTAATGATATCATCGTAAGTGAGTAACTTTTCGGAGACTTCATGTGCTCTTTTGCCAAAAACAATATTCTTGGACTCTCAGCACTTCACTGTGTATACGTGTACAATTTTTCGGATGGATTCGTCAATTTTCGAGCCAGAAGACCATTTTATTTGTATTCAATGATAGAATCACCAGAATTATTCATGGGTCAAAAGGATCATTTGGCATTTTCTACCTGAACCACCTCCATAGCGGGCTGCCACTCGAAAATAATAAAATTTGGATAGTGATTTCGGTTTTTATGCCTAAAAATATATGTAATTCTCCTTAACTGAGCACCTTACCACAAGAACCCACAAAGATCTGTGACCATTTTCGGGAGGGCGTATAATAACCTAGGATTTCCGAAAATTCCGCCCACTACCACTGCCAATGACAAAAGAATATAGTCAAAAGTAATTCCAAGATGTATACATTTTAACCAAAAGAACTGCATTCGAATACAAGTCACTCTCAATGGCGGCCAGAAAACAAATGGTAAAAGTTCCCACTTACGTTTTTCTCGAAGGGCGTTTTATTGTTACTTGCCTTTTTCCTAGATATTTCCTTAATCGAGCAGATTTTTCAGTCTCGTCATAATCAATCAAACGCACGGTGCTTTAGCTATGAGGTCACAGTGCGTCAATACTAAGAGGGAATCTTCAATAACTTTGTTGACAAAAAGCTTTGTATGAACCACGCTTTTATCTAGCGAAGTTTCAATTTTAAGGACTTCCATTACATTGCTTTTTGGTGAAATAAAACTTGAAATAGGTATCGAATATTTGACCGCGATAATTATTTAATCATTCGTTGTGTGACTCAAAAAATCCGATCGGATTTTAAAGGATTACATAGCAGGCTATGGACTACATCCATTTAAAGTGCATTGGTAGTTTTACATCGGACCAACCTCGAGGGAAAAGTATTATACATTAAATTTAGTAGCTTAGTTTCATATGAACTCTTCATCGATGATATCGATAACTATTTTTGAGCAGAGTGGATGAGCAGAGAAACGCGGCTTCTGCAAAAACAATTCAGCACCATTTTTTAAGGTCAAGCCTCGCGTCAAGGGAGATTTTGACTACCCCAAAAATACTTGTGAAAATTTAATTGCACAAGGAATTGATACCACCGCACATGACAATAAAAAATAACTTGATTAAAAAGAACTCATTAGAACAATAAATGACGACGGTGAAATTTTACCGGGATACGAGTATGTTATTTGCCGATTGTGGTCACCGCTTATTCTTGCTGTTCATTGTGTGCAGTCAGCTAATCAAACTCGCATTAAATAAAGCAGCTCCTAAAAAAAGGCGAAAAAAATACTTGCATCGATGCGACCGCTAACTAACTCATGCACCTGCTTGATGTCCCACACTGGGTGCCCTATAAGTTGTATTATATCCTGCAGCAGACGAGCTTCAAACAAACCTTTCCGATTCAAAGCAGCACACTGACGCGTAAAAGATGTTTTTAAAAAATCTCCCACGGAAATAAAGTACTACATAGATGCTTTTTAAAATGGAGAAATACCTAAAGTATTTTAAAAACAGCTTCTAAATGTTTCAAAAGATAAGATATGGCTACATACAGGCGTGTTTCATATGTTTTATAAATTAATGTTTAAATCATTTTAAAAACATTCCTAAGAAAAAGTGTGAAAATATTTTTGAATATATATGATAATACATAGTTATTAAATATTATTTTACCCTTTAAAGCGGTTTGAAAACTGGATTTTTCAAAAAAATTATAAAATGTCTCTCTTTCTTACTTTTGAAATTAAATAGGTAATTTAAACATCTTTGTTGCAGTTTATAAAGGGTTTACCAGAGCTAAAAATGCCCGAGTTGTTCTATAGAATTATTCAATAACATTTTTTAATTCTTACGTAAGAAGATTTTTAAAGATTAAAAGTCAACTTCTTTAAAACAAAACTCTTTCTCGGTGTGCTCAAAGGAACATTCCGGTGGTCAAGACGGCGTCTGTTCGGAAAAGGGGCTCATTTTTAGTGGGTCAAGAATTCATAAGGCAAAAATTTAAAAACTTATACTCACGCTTTCATGCTCATAAACTTTGTGCAAGTCACCTCAAATATAACAAGAACGGACCTCATGTTATTGCTGATTTAAATTATCTTTCAAAGACGATCACATTGTAGCAGATCTGTTTTTGTTTGAATTTTGTTCATCACTCGTTAAAGTCTCCCAGTTGAACTGTAGACATGGGACGAAAAATACTAAAAATAGTAAATGAACTACCAATAAAACCCACATTATCTAAATATTATACTTGAATACTCGTATCTTTATGTTGGGAAACACTTTAAATCTCTTTATACGAATGTACGCATTATAAATAACTTTCATTATAAAAAACGGTTTTCACGTGAGTTCCACCATACAAATCGCAAAGTCGCAGATCACAGAAATGAACTCTCAACTCTCCTCTTTTTATGCTTTGAAGTTACATGAAAAAAATTTAAAAAAGGTCTCTGCGCGTAAAAAAAAGCTTAGTCGTAGTCGCTTCATAGCCTATGAGGCGACTGATTGCACGTCTTATGAGTCATAGGACGTCCAATCAGTTTTTTCATTGTCAGATTTCTTTTTGAGACAGCTGAAAATCCTGTTGTCCCAATTGCACTCTTATGGCGGTAGCCAAAATCCCATCGGGACAACCAATGGCGATTCCGGCGAGTTTACAACACTGTTAAGTGTTGACACTCTATTTAAACCCATTGAATATATCGATGTTAGGTATGACCGGCTGCTAGAATCGATTGTTTAACATACATTTAAATTGAATAAAAAAACAGTGTTGCCAACTTGCAAGATAGCCAATGGGGGCAAAGATGATTCCCATTATCTTAATAAGAACTATGATGAAAAAAATAATATTAGCAGGATATGTTGTAGAGACGCCAGAATATCTTGCTGCGTCAAGAAAATATCAGTTGCCCACAAGCACGCTTTCGTAGACTGTTCTTTCGTATCCGCGCAAAACGTTCAATTACATAGTAGGAATAATTAGTCTTTCATTCTTGATAATTATTTTCTCCCAAACTTAGAGATTTTTTTTTACTTATTTCTATCAAAGTGCACAAAAGGACTGAAAACAGGTGCGCTGTCTCGTTCTCGTCCACTTCGAAATAAGTCATTCGAGGGAAAAAACTGACGTTTTGCGGGAACCAACGCGCGCGTCGAACTGGTTTCACAAAAACTTGAACGGCCGGCAACGGTCAAATGGACGTATCTCTGCCGAACGGAGCTATGTGCATTGAGAATGAGCCCTGAGACCCGTAAGAATATATACGTAACAGGGCTCACGTCATAATGCACGTAGTTCCGTTTGGCATAAATACGGTCAAATATACCGAAACTGCGATGAAGTGCATTAATATTACCATGCTAAGGAAGAAAGCTGTATGAACGTTCGCATGTTGCCAAACTTTTCCCTGTAAAATATCTAAGTTCGAAAAAATTTGCTAAAAACCACGCCATAAATAGGATTACGAATTTCCAGACTGCGACAGGAAATCGTCTGGCGCCACTTTACCATGCGTAAAGTAAATGGAAGACTCACGATGGCGGATCCATGTCTCAGTCTAGAGGTGCGTAAACTTATTTGGCGTGGACCATAGTATTTTCCTTAAATATTCCCTTTACACAAAAATACATTGTAAATACAATTCAAATTTAAAATTGAAAACATTTTCGGAAAAATGGCCGCTAAGGCTTGAAGTGCTGCTTGGATTGTGCATTTTCCGGCGCAATTTTCAAAAACTTAGTTGACATCCAAATTTTTCTAAAGAAAAACGAAGAAAAATTCAAATTTTATTTTGGAAAAATACATACCTAAGCTTTCGGATAGGTATGTAGTTTGTAAAAAAAAAAAATTATGGCAAAATCTTAGCAGAATTGCAAGCCTTCCGGGTACTAAAACCAAAGACGTTCTTAATAAAGAGGAAAATTCTCAAATTATCATGAAATTGTATTTTACAGATTAAATTTGGCAACGTTTGAATGTTGATAAGACTGCGTTTTCCCTTAGGACGGCATAGAGCAAGGGCTAAGGCCGGAAAGCAACCAGAGCGATTGACCAGTGACCATTGTCGCATCCACACGCCACGGAGGCAACGTTGCCAGCTCGAGCGCGAAAACCCACCAGGACGCAATATTTTCGGTCGGATTTAAGTCAATTTGGCAACTAAGCCGGTGAAAAAAAGCGCAGCGTGCCTTTAATTGCGAGTATCTCGAGCGAATCACTAGTGGTAAGTGACACGAGTCAAGATGGCGATAAGTGCAAGCGGAACATCTGTGCCCTTTAATTTATGCCTGTCGCGGAGGAATTACCAGCGCCGCGAAATCCGACAAAAAAAATAAGGGGTAAATTGATACGAGGACAAGTTTTTGGCGTCCCGGATGGGTTTCGTGACACCGGCGGCGACCAGCGTGCAGTCGTGTGCATTTCCAGCTGCTCGTCGATCGAATTCTCTGTGACGAAGACGGCATTCCGACTCTGGCCCTCTAATTGATCGACCGGACAAGTGTCTTCAACGGATGCCCGGATATGAATTAGACTGCATTTTGCAATTAGGAATTACTGTTTCTGACTCGCTTTAAAAACAGCATATGTGCCAATAGATCGTATTCGATAGTGGTTCGATGTATCGTTTGGTTCCAAAAAGTAGAACATAACCTCATACAAACATTTTGGGATTTCAGTTGGAAAAGCAAAAAGTGAGAAAATTTTTAACAATTACACTTTCCATTGGAATTTCGTACTTAAAAGAATAAATAAAAAATCCATTACAAAAAACTCGTTCCCTTAGATTTTTAGATTGACTTTTGAACCAATCGATATCGATATAATCTCACCTGATTGATGTACCAAATACGATCTATTATTTTTCTGTGCGGATTGGTGCTCCTGTGGATGAGCCAGAAATACCTAGTAGTTTCTAGTGGCATAAGATAAGTCCGAAGCAGCGTCATCAAGCCCTTGCAAAGTCAAAAAATGAGTTACCGCCCCGTGTTATTGTACCTTTTCCCTCCCACATTTTTAGACACACCTACAAGGGCGTGTCTTGCGTCGATACTGGGAAATCGCTGTTTCTCCTTAAAACTGAGCAAAGGGAAATAATTCTAGGCTTTAAGTCGAAAATTGGTAGGAAAAGTTCAAAATTGTAAGTGAAAATCAGTGGCGGTTCGATAGATTCACGTCGATCGAATCCACACCCTCAGCTTCCTCGGATCCATATCTTGAGCTTCGAAATGTTCATTTATCAAATGAGCTTCATTTTGCAATTAAAAACCACAATTCTGGCTTCGTTTAGGAACAACGTACGTACCGTTAGTTTCCTAATGCACATCGGTGTTTTTACAGATGAGCTAGAGATTGTGGTTCCGAATCCAAATAGCAAAATTTGGTCCAAATGATCACGCTATTACATCGCTGAGCAACGAGGGAGCCTGCGTTTAATGTCGTTTCACTTTCATGCTTCTATTTAAACCTATTTATAAAAATATGTAAATAAAGAGAGGAAAATTATTTGGGTTTCATGTATAGTGTTTTACCATTTGAAATGACAATAAGTAATTCCGACAAACTGCACAAGAACTTCAAAAACATAATTTGAAAACCGCTGACGCCGCAAGTTTGAATAATCGCGTCGAACACAAGGGCTGGCGCTCACCGCAGGTAGCGCCTTACAAGACCGCAGGATACTTCCTGCATTGTGCGTACAGCACGAAGCGCGCAAAACATAGTAGCGTCTTACAAGTCTGCAGGATACGTTGTACGTACAAAAACTTCAAAATCATGAGTCGAAAACTGCTGATGCGGCAAGTTTGAATAAATCGCATCAAACACAGTGCGGCTGGCGCGCACGGTGCGCGTAACGCGTAACGCACAGCGCCTTATAAGACCGCAGGATACTCCATGCAGTGCGTGTACAGCACGGTGCGTGCGGAACATGGTAGCGCCTTACAAGTCTGCAGGATACTTCATGCATTGCGCGTATACCACGGAGCGCGCTCAAGTCGTTGAAAAGTCGTGATCTCTTGGTGTCGAACTTAGACCTAACCCGTGCGCACCGTGAGCTTGCAATCTCAGGATCACAGGACTGTACAGATATTGCAATCCTGTATGTTTTTCGGTGAAAATATAATTTACCAGGGGCCATGTTACAAGTTGGAATGCTGATACGTTCTATTGTCCGGAAAACGTCGAACTTAGCTAACTCCCAAGGAGAGAAAGTCGATATTTTATCTTATCACAAATATGGCAAAATTTCCAGGGAGATATATTCTTGGTATCACATTCACACAAAAATAAACTCTGGCAATCTAACCTAGCTTCGGCAATTATTGCGAATGACCAACGCATATGGCTAACATCGAAAAATTATGGAGTGGGGGGGGGGGGGGGGGTCTGTGATGGGCCAGTCTGTTGGCGATTTCCCGCGTCGCTTCGAGGAGTCAGTCCGCCTCTGGTAACACTACCTATCTTCTGAATCCTACATTCAGGACATCGCAAATCTCCTGAAACATTTGATTTTTTAGAAGGAGCCAGGGTCATAATTTTTCACGATATTTTAAAAGATTTTCCTCTGCTCTTTAAACAATATTCTTTGAGAATTTCGCTCTAAACTTGCGAGCAATATTGTCTTGAAAAAATATTTAAGTGGAAATTTAAACGTGGCAATCAAGATCCGTGGTTCGGTTATTTCACCATTTATATATTTTGAGGATTTTTTTTTTTTTGTAAAATATGTTAACTTTTGTGAATTTTGTGCAGGTCAAGCAGGCGTGAATCAACTAGGCGGAGTGTTCGTAAATGGGCGCCCCTTGCCGGACTGTGTACGCCGTCGGATCGTTGAGCTTGCACTGATGGGGGTCCGTCCCTGCGATATTTCTCGCCAACTCCTCGTTTCTCATGGCTGCGTCTCGAAAATCCTCACACGCTTTTACGAAACTGGCTCTATTCGGCCTGGATCTATCGGTGGCAGTAAGACTAAGGTACTTCAACTTTTTCTCCCCCTCAGATTTCGGTAAAATATCTGTTGAACCTTGAGACAAAACTTTTTCATGATCTCAAAAAAGCAGATCATAACAAAATCATGTGATAACGCAGTTTGGGGCAGATGCCTTCATTTTCCCGTGATGCTTCTCGCTTAACCACGTAGTTTGTTTAGTTGCCTACCCAACCTGCGACGATCGCTGATTGCTTGGCGATGTACAAATGCAGTGTCTTAGTTAGCCCAGCAGAATATTGAGTTGGCTGCCTCGCTGCAGTTCGAGGATTTGTCTCTCGTAGGTGTTTCGAAATGTTAGAGGTGGTCTGGGCGCAAGAGGTTGCTCACAATTAGGAGTTTTGTGGAAAAATCTCTATGTAATAAATTACTAATACCATAAACTGATTGATCCACAATAATTCGAATGAAACTGTATAGTCACTTTATGATTTGATATCGGTTGTTTACATCCGGAGCATGCATGGGCAATGGACCGATGGACCAAGACACGCCTCCTTCATCGTCCCTGAACAGATTCTTGATGCTTCTAGCTCACCATACTTTAAAACCTTGATGATACGAAAAAAATCTCTCGTCTCCTTGAATTCCAAATTATTGAGAGCACACTGTGCTTTAAGAAAGTTTTTGGGTACTTGATATTATACAGCGCCTCCATATAATATCCTCAGTTATTGAACAATCGTACATCTTTCTGTGACTTTCAGCAGGTGACAACTCAAACAGTGGTGCGAAAAATAGTAAGGTGCAAGCAGGACAACCCGAGCTTGTTCGCCTGGGAAATTCGGGATCGGCTGCTGACTCAAAGGGTTTGCGATCCCTGCGGAGTACCCAGTGTCAGTTCGGTCAATCGCATTCTCCGCACGACCAACACATGCTCACCGCTTATAGGTAAGATATCATAGAAATGTTCATAGAGAAATGCAGGGATATATTTTGCTTGGCTCTTGCTTTAAAAATGGGACCACGTTTAATAGAAAGGAACTAAGCCACATCAGTTATTGCCAAATTTAAAATTAGGCAATTCAATTTTTTACACGAAAATGATTGCGCGAATGTTAGTGCAAATTGAAGTGAATGTTATGCATGGTACGAAGCGAATTCCTTAAAATTTTCAAAGGTACCGCACAGACGTTCTTTTGTAAAAAGTTAAATTTGACAATTGCTGATGTGGCTTGGTTCCTTTCTGCTTAACCCGGCAATAAAACAGAGCTCGAAACTTTTAAACGTGTATAATGGAGGTATGCATTTTCGACTTTAACCATTGTCAAAGAGATTAGCTCTGCGTTGTTTGTCACAACTAAAGCATAGATAAGATAAAAAGAACATTAATAAGCAGTAAGTTTCTTTGGAACTCGGGAGCTCTCTAAGTTCCAGGGAAATTTTGAAAATTTGAGTCAACTCAGGGGCAATTTTGAGCTGTTTGAGCAGAAAATTGATTCAATAATTAATTGCTCAAAAATGAAAGATATGTCACGCACCTACTCAGCAAAATCCCGTACATTCCACGGGAAAGGCCCAATCAATTTCTGGGGAGGGAGAGGGCTGCCGCACTGTGGCTCAGATCAATCAGAGTAATCGGTCATGACATTTTTGGCTAAAACATGCAAATTTTGATGTTCATTTTGTCATATTTTACATTTCAAGGGGTGCTTTTAAAAGAAAATTTCTCGAGGAAACCAATGGAGCTACTTTTAAAACCTCAATGTTTTGTATATTAACGGAGTTATAAGTTTTTAAAGTTTCCAAATTTTGTCCGACCTCTCCCATTAACTCGAACCACTGTGTGACGTAGCCGGTCTCCGTATCCCCCATCTAGTTCCGCCCATAAAAAGCGAATCAAATCTTGAAAAATATGAGAAAAACATTAGACTATTCAATTCAACTTTTTCATTTTTCAGTTGATGCCCCAAACCACGACGACGAATCCATCTACAAACAACGTCTCAACGGATGCAATCGGAAGCAGCTGAGCCTATTGCAACAACATCAAAGCGCAAAATCCTACGACGATCCGACCGTCAAAGATTCGCTGGCGGCCAATTTCGACCTGAAGTTCAACTGGCGCTCCAAGTCTGTAGAAGGAGGTGGTGTCTGCTCGCGGGAGATGGACGCGAAACCCAAAAGGCATTCGTTCACGATCGAGGAACTTCTGAAAAACGACGGAGCCGAATCGGAAAGGTTGAGCGCGGATGGAAACAGAGACAGGGATGTGGCGAGACCCCGTAGTCTCTCGTACCCTGCGGCGTCGGCCGCTATCCAATCCTTCCTCCTTTCTTGTCCACCGTGCGGTCTGCTCCTGGACAAGCAGTGCACATGCCTCCTCACTAGCGGCCCCGAGGAAGGAGCTGAAAAGACGTAAAATCCTCACGAAGTAACTGAAATTGTACCTCTAGTCATCAAGTAGTTAAGTTCCTTCTTGTCTAGCGTAGGGACGAGGTCTAGCTATCTCTTTTAAGGGGATTTGGCCAGGATTCCGGGTCATTGGCGTGTGACCTATCGGATCAAGTATTCAAAAATTTTGGCAGGTTTTTTTTATTTTGGATTAAAAATAGGACGACAGCCTCCACGCATGCGGATCCAATAATGGAGATGTTGCATGTGTGAGGAATTTGCGATTTGACTGTTGATTCTCACGTAAAAGTTCGCGAAAAACACGATGGTGTCACTGGTTTTCTCTGAAATCAACTCCCAAGCTCAAAAAAAGCTCTCAAGTTGAAGCCAAAATGGAGGGGATATCTCACGCTATCCTGAGAGTCCACATCTACATCAAGACAAACTCTCCATGCAAAGATAGGGAGCAAATACATTAGCAGGGTTGCCGTGTTTTCAGTTTTGGAGTCCCCAAATAAAATGGCAGCCCTGTCAATGTATTTGCTCCCTATCTTTGCATGGAGAGTTTGTCTTGATGAAGAGGTGGACTCTCAGGGCAGGGTGGGATATCCCTCCATTTTGACCTCAACTTGAGAGCTTTTTTTGAGCTTGGGAGTTGATTTCAGAGAAAACCAGCGGCACCTGGCACCATCGTGTTTCTCACGAGCGTTTACATAAGAATCAACAGTCAAATCGCAAATTCCTCACACACGCAACATCTCCATTTAAGTTGTTTGATAAACAGCTTAGGTATCATGTAAGCTTACACCTGGGGCAACTTTGTACACCTATGGCGAGGCTGCCATTTGACATCAGCCAATTTCAGCCATTTTACATCGGAATTAATGTGTTATACACATGTAGCAAAAGTTTGAAACACCCTAATTTTTTTTTTTTGTTTTAATTTATGTTATCCTGTTCTATTCTAATGTACTTTCTTTTATTTGCCTTTCTGTAAAACTTGAACTTTAATTGCTTCTGAAGTATTGCAAAAATGGAACTTTTGTTCCCAAGCTCCTTCCTTCAGACATGTTCAGAGATTCTGCGTTTTTGAATCTACAAGATATAACCCTATATGTCAGATACGATGATGTTACTTTTGCTTGACCTCCTCCCTCTTTTTTACCCACTTGTCACTCACCTCCAGACTCTCCATCCCCCTCCCATTCATGTGACGTAATTTGAGGACGGCCCCTTTAACTGATAATGTCTCCATGTATTGTGTCAAGCAACTTGCGTTTGTCTGTACGTAGTGTACGCCTACTTTTCCGGCGCAGCGTTAAAATCTCTGATGTGATTCCTGAATTTTGCCGTCTTGGCGATTCCTCGTGTGGTTATTCACCATGGTTAAATTTTTTTTAAAATAAAAACGTCTCCGTGCGTCAAGCAACTCCTGTTTGTTGGCACGCCTACTTTTATGGAGCAGCGTTCAAGTCTTGGCAGTGATTCCTGCGTTTTGATCAAATTTTCTTTTTTAAAAAAAAGATAGAGAGGGAGGAAAGAAAGAAAAAAAACTCAGGTTGAAACTAAAGTTGGGAGTATACTGAATTCAACGGTGCAATCAGTTTTTTTCTAGCAATATTGATTCGCGAGAAAATTAACAGGATACCTCACTAGACGACCCTCGTACATTTTCAAGAAATGGCGCGTGCTTTAGATATTGAAATCGATACCCATTGGCGGATCCAGCAAATTGGCAATATTGTATTTCTCTACTTAAATCTATTGAAATGTGTCGATTCGTGGAGGAGCCAGGTGCTCCGAATAGATTATTTAGCATGGGTTTAAATGAAGGAAATTCGGTGTTGCCAAATTGCTGGATCCGCCTCTTTCGATACCTTACGAGGTTTGTTAAACACCTCACCATGTAATCTTCCATTTATTAAGCCTCAGAACAACTTTGTACTTGGAAAAGTTGCTGCAAAAAAGAGGTTTACGGAACTCACGAAAAAATGACGAAATTTATAGAGGGGACGAAAATGAAACTACTTAATTCGGAACCTCAGAAAATTAAAAACTTTTTATGCGATTTGGAAGAATATTCATAATTTTTCCCTTAAAAAATAACCCTTCTAGCTCCGAACGATTCAGAGAATTTTTTATTTCGGCCCACCTTATTGTATAATGAGCAGGAGACGTATTTGTAAGAAAAAATTGTACATTTTAAATTAGTTACCATTTATTTTAGATGTAGATGTAAGTTCTTTATTTGTTCATGTTCTTTTCATTCCTTTCAATACAAATAAATAATCTGTAGAAATCAATTCTTACATTGAATATGGTGAAGATTTATTTAAATGTACATTAGAAATATGAAATCGATAAAAAATAAATCCAATATTTGACGATGTGCGCACCTCTAACGAAGATGTTCCGTTATTTAAATTCCATTACCTACTGTCGCCATTTTGGGCTTCCAATGATATACATGTAACGATAGCTGAAGTCGAAGAATTAAAACCTCTAGATTGCAGCTTTTCGAAAACTCCGATTTTTTTATTCTTCTTCTTTTTTTTTGGAAAAAACTGCTGCGTGCCAATTTTCGGACAGGGTAGTAGATAAGTTTCTTAATTTATTTATCAACTGAAGATACTGTTTATATGTGCCTGCATTATTTCTGGCTCTTCTTTTTCCCTTCAGTGTAACGTTTAAAGAAAAATTTAGCAAATATACGTCCTGATAATTTTTTAATGCTATTCTGTTATTCAATAACAATCGACGTTGAAACTCCCAAACCACGGATTTCGTTATTGGTGTTCAAAAATTTCAGCTCCACTTTTATTTCTGCAAAGGTGAATTAATCGATAAACCTTCCAGATACATGTAATAATGGTTGCCCGTTGCCCCGCTGGTTTTATTTGAAGTTTAGCTCGAGGATGCCCATTAATTTATTAATTTATGTGTTCCAAACTCAGAGGAGGACCACTTGTTAGACTTTTTTGCGACATCACCAACCAAAGTATGTCTAATCTTGATCTGAAAATGTTTCAAAAAATGTTCCGACCTTCAGAGTTCTATCCATGAGGAATGAACAGAATCCACGCCAAATGCGCACTAACAGACTGCGAAAGAAAATCTGTCATCATTTTTCCCTTTACTTTTTACATATAAGTGATGGCAGACGATCTGTTATCATAGTCTGGAAGGACATTAACTTATTTGTCGTGGATTCAAACGGCGTGATAATGTGACGGTCTCTTCCTCTGGTCGTATTACAGGCATCTTGAATTTTGTTAGTGCCGTAGGTCGGGACGGTTTTTATTGTTTATTGTTTTTATCACTGATTTTCGTAAAAATGGTGTCGTTTATGGGGGAAAAAAGTCATTGTGTATAAAGTATTTGCAATTATATTTTGAGTTGATCCAAGCAGAAAAATCAAACGCCATGGTCCGTTTTTCATGCTTCGAGCTTCGGATTTCGCTGGAATATCGACGTCATATTGTACCTATACTTACGTCACGTGGTATAATAACAATCCTCAAGGTCCGACCACCTCCTTTTTTGAACACGAAAAAAAAACACATTGGATCGAGAGTCCAGACTCTTGAAAACATTGACAAGAAGAAGGACTCTTGATTCAATCAGATTTCAGCTTAGATCAAAAGGAAATCCGCTCAAATTAAGAGGCTTGGTTCTTGATTTAAGCTTAAATCTGATTGAATCAAGAGTATTTTTTCTTGTCGATGTTTTTAAGAGTCTGGACTCTAGATCCAATGTGTTTTTTTTTCAGTGCGGTCCATCCGATGCAATACACGCTATTCTTACCCGTCACGTGCGAATACAAGCGAGTGAAGTGTCGGGGAAAAGCTGCCGTACCTGGTTGGACGGCGGTTGGCATGTGCCACATATTAGCAGCTGCAAGACTGCATGAATACTTCAAGCATTGCGTCAAATACAGTGCGGCCAGCAGCGGTCAGCGTGAAACGCATGGCGCCTACTAGACCTCATGAATACTTCACGCATTGCGTCAAACACAGTATGCATTCAGCGGCGGTCGGCGTGAAATGCATAGCGCCCACAAGACTGGAGGAATACTTCACGCATTGCGCCAAACACAGTGCGGTCAGCGTGAAGCTGGCGCGGCGGCGGAAGTTAAAATTATTAAACCACATTAATGTTTGTTCTTGCATAATTTTTACGTTCATTTCTTATAAACGGAAGGCCTTGTTCACACAGAGATAGGTTTACGGAACTTAACTTTCACGCAAAGTTCCGTGAACTTTTGCTAAAAGTGTTGACGGGGCTTTCGCATAAAATGTGTGCAACACGAGTAAACGCGTCTAATGCACCCCTCCCCTCCCCGTTCACTTGATGGTTCTTATCAAGACCAATCCACACAGGTCAGTCATTGCGCAGCTTTTCTGAAATCCACTCCCCCGCCCGGCCCTAACTCGCAGCACTCAATGCTACGTCACAACGGGTGCTCCCATAAGAAATACATTGCAGGCACTCAATACTACGTCACTCCGCAGTAAAGCTCTAAAACTCGTCCTCGGGAATGACTGACCTGTGTGGATTGGTCTTGGTTCTTATTGATGTTTCAAAACGAATGAGAAGGGGGCGGCAAAATACAGGCGGCCCATGGGCGGCAAGTAGGTAAATCCGGCCCTGCCGCGGATACCCCGTGCATAGATACGCGGTTCTGACTAGAATACTGCCGTGCTAAGGAAGAACGCCGTATGAACCTTCAGGCGTTGCCAAATTTCCTTTGATAAAACACGCATTTCCTGGTTAACTTCTGAAGAGTTTCTTTCCAGTTTTTCAGATAATTTTGTTCGCAATTTCATATAAAGTTCCCACAATTTTCAGGGAAAAATATACATATCTTTACTCAAAAATGAACGTTTTATCGAAGGAAATTTGGCAACTCTCGAATGCTCATACGGCGTTCTTCCTTAGCACGGTAAAATACGGGCCGGTCGCTCAAGTGGCATGTCCGCGGTCAAAAGCATTTGACGAATGTGCTTGCATTGTGCAGCACTTAACTCCACGGCCGAAATGGTGGTTCGTCCACGTCTCACGGTTGAAAATATTTAGAGACCCAGGAATTTTCGGCCGGGGTGTTTTCCTCGGCAAGAATTTTCCTTCCCTCTTTTTCCGGCTCATTTTTGTTTCTTCCAGTGCTCCCATTTTCTGGAACTAGTTCCGAG